TTGTGCCTGAAGGATTGAGCACATCTTTTCCTGCATTCTTGCCATTCTCTGTGTGGAGTCCGCAGCGCCTTCTCGTGTCAGAAACGAGGAGTGCAGAGGCAGTCTGTGTGCTGTCCCTGGAGCATTTGGAGGAAATGATGAAGCAGGCTACTCAGCTTAGCTTTAGTTTGATCACATTCCGAAGTCTTACATTTGGAAATTAATTGGACTCCATTAAAGCAACATTTCAGGTTAAATACAAATCAGTATATCAACAGAATCTGAAGCATGCGTTTTTGTTTTCTGTCAATTTACTTTAAGCACTTTGTGTAAAACCTACTTTTTCAAAAAAAAACAAAAAACATCTCCTTTTTTTTAATGTTGTTTTTGTGGGGGTTGATGAATTCGTTGGCAGTACTTCTGATGGATTAGGTTTTTTGATCACTTGCGACTTGTATTTTTCTAACCTTCTATTCAAACAGTGACCACAACAATAGAAGCTTCTCAGGTTTTGTTTGATCTGAGTTTTTTGAGTGGTTCTGAACTTTAATTTTTTGTGTCGTGAATCCAGGGAGACAGAAGAGATGCGTTGTGAGTCATTTGAACTTGCGTGGGGCTTTGGAGGGGTTCGTGTCTTTATGTCTCTCCACAGACCTTTAGTTAAGCACCGGTCAACAACTTCAACCCCATGAATCTCTTGTTTTTATAAAGACCGCTGCGGTCAAAGAAAGGCTGACGTGAAAGTGCCCAGTATAGCTATCAAGGCCGGGAGACCTTTCAAAGGGATTCTTCTGTCTAACCTCTTGTTTTAAAGGCAGACTGTGGTAACCAATACAGGCCTCCATACCAGTGAAGAAAGGCCCTTTACATGCTGTCGGGAAGACTTTCACTAACTCTTTTACTGAATCTTCAGTGCGTGTACATGGACACTGAGTTTTTTTAATCCGTGTAATTTGGTGCAATTAAAAGCAACAGAGAAACTTAAGTTGTTTATATATTCAGTTTTGTTTCAGTCCACATTCACCCCTCAATTGTAGTTGAATTCTAAGGCGGTATCCGGACTGAATTGAAGCCTCAAAAGTTGAATAATTTGGAACGCGCTGCGTAGAAACTGAAGCTACGTAGCTGCTCACATGAAGCTCATGAGCAGTGCAACACCTGGTTAATTCCAGTAGAGTTTGGCATTAGCACATGTTGCTAAGCTAATGTTGCAGTACTTAAATAGAGTGCAACAGTTAGGTTCTGTAGGTAAAAATCCTATTCATTTTCTCCATAGGGAAATTGATTTTTAAAGGGGAGATCAGATGCAAAATTCACTTTTACATGGTGTTTGAACATAAATTCGCACAAATCATTTGTGATCCAGCTTCACCTACAGAAGTGAGTTTAACTTTTTTTATGAATCCTTGCAAATCGCCTTTCCTAATAATGTGCTAATTAGCAAGTTTCATGATGAATGCGGCTAAAGTTCCTACAGAACTTTACAGTCTAGAGTCAGTTCTACAGTCTAGTCAGTTCTACAGTCTAGAGCAGAGGTCCCCAACCACCGGGTCGCGACCCACTGGCCGTGGAAGAATTGCTACCGGGTCGCAAGAACGTTCTGGGAAAAATGTGTATAGATATGACATTCTGTTATTTATTTATGTTAATGATTGTTCTAATTATTCTGTATTTTCTTTGTATGCGATTGATATGGAGTAGCAATTTGACAATTTCATGTTAAATAAGGAAATGAAAGATTGCTCTGATCTGTCACATATTAGGAGTTAAACGGACGGCAGTTGATCCGCAATACGTAGGCCTACAGATGAGACCCTACCGTTTGGCACGCACGTGATTCACAGATTAATTTGCCAATTTAGACGTACAAGCAATTTTAAACCACAAGAAGAAGAAATGAAAGAAACTCACGCGCTGTTCTCGCACACAATCAAAGCGCACACAAGAGACCTGTTTTAGACGGCGAGGAAATACCGAGTTGCATACATAAAATAAGCCCATGTCAAAAACCCTTCACGCCATTGTCATTCTCTGTGCTTTAAAAAAAAATTTTTTCTTGCTTATCCGAAAAAAAGTCTGATCTGTGACTCAAAAAAAAAAAAACACAATATAATGCGTTGAACCACTATATAATGCTATTATAATACTATATAATAGCCTAATATATATATGTATGGTGTAAAAAAGGTTGGAGACCCCTGGTCTAGAGAATGGCTCGTCACCCCACAGAAGAGAAGGGCGTGGTGAGCAGAGCTGATTAGCATTTAAAGGGACATGCACCGAAACGGGTCGCTGTGAACAGAGCTGTTTTTGACCAGGTAAAAAGAGCGTTGTTTTACACGGCCATTGAGAAATTTTAACCAAAGTATGTTATAGACTTTTCACGAAGACCCTAAAGAATCATATGAACTTGTGGAAAATGGGCATTCGATTTCCCCTTTAATGAAAAGCTTTAAAGTTGTTAAATCAATGGTATATGCTTTTGTTGAATCCATCAGCCCACATTATTTCAACATTATTTCAACTTTTTAAATAATCTTGTTTAACAGCGGAATTTCTGGTGAGAAACTACATCACCCATTATTCTGCAAAGAAATCACCACCAATCAAAGAATCACATCAAGCAAGTCATGCCAAATAAGAACTCTTTAGCGCCCACACTTCCTTGAAGCACTGTGAATGAGAGAGTCTCCCTGTACTTAAATATGTGTATGGAATGATCCGGGGGTCCACGAGTGCCGTGTCCTCCTTCAATTTGGGTCAGGTCGTACATTATTTCTGTTAATGTCACGGCACGCCACTGGAAATCTGATACGTAAACAAATATTTGCCTCCTAGCGACCGCCCACCAGAAAGTTGCTAGGAAATCACCGAAATCACTTAACCAGCATATTGTTTCGAGGTGACCTCGAGGGTCAGGGTGTCTCTCAGCTGTTTCCTATTGTGATAAGCAGATAAACAACCAAACCACCCAGAAGAAAAGGCTCCAGAGCACTTTTATGTTGAAACAATATGATGTCCGATCAAACGCACACATGCACGTTGGAGCAGTAGTGATGCTGCATGTGAGTTTAAAGCCTGGCTCGCTCTATTGAGATGTTAATGAAGCAGATCTGGCGTGCTTTAAGCGAGGGCCACCACAGGGCCACACAACTCTCACCAACGTCCTGCTAATGCCCTCACATTGTTCCCTCGTACCCTGAGAAAGAAGAGGGGGAGGGCCGACGGCGAGCGCAGCGCTCTGCTTTCAGAAAGGGGGTGGGATGGAGAAACACACTTGGAGAAGAAAGATCAGAACAAGGGAGGGAGAGAGAGGGAGAGACAGGGCAGACATGATGAAGAGACACAGGAAGGAGGGGGGCCGAGAGAACTAAAATCCAGAGCATGAGCCGAGACGGAGCACAGAGGAGAGAGGGAGAGAGACCGGTGGACCAAGAGGAAGACCGGACCCCCTCTCTGACAGGATGACAGGAAGTGGACTTTTGGGAAAGGTGAAGTTTTTGTTCGCTCTCTCACAGAAGACGTCATAAGCGGCAGCTGTTAGCATACTGTGGATGGCACATGCTGTAGAAGTGCATGCTGATTTAACTCGGTTAGCATGTGGTTTGCATGTGTCACTGTATCTCGCTATATGTCCTGGTTTAGTTGTGAGGCTTGCGTCGAAGACATGCAAGTGTGGATCAGAAGTTGGCCAGCGAGACGGAGTTACATAACTCACTGATCTGCAGAGGAGACCAACACGCTACCTTGCAATGTGTCTGTGTGCTGCACTGTGATAAGACGAACCTCTGTTAGTGTTTAGCATCATATGGAAACTGAAGTGTGTGAATATTCAGCTGCTGTGTGATGATGTTGCTGTAAGTTTTCAGGCAGTGTTTCCTTTCAGTGGCATATTCTGTTCTCATTTTGAGGTCGTGTCTCTGTTATGCACACTGCACCCACACACACCAACCACATGCACACTTTATCTTCATTGCTGTCCTGATGCTTTTAGTTGACCACTCAGTTACAAACTTGGGGGAAAAACGCACATGTGCCTGTTAGTGCTAAACTGGGAGAACAAAAACTGACTTCCTCCTGTGTGTTTAAATTTTTTTATAATAAATATTAAATTAAACATAAAATAATATATAAGATATCATTTTAAGTATTACAAAATACTTTATTTTTTATTAATAACAAAATATATAACCTTGGGTAAATATAACCAGAAATTAATGGGGAAACAAAAAGTGATATATAATATAATATAATATAATATAATATGTTTTATTAAAAATATGTATTATAAATATAATATTAAATAGTATATTAGAAATTAAATTCTATAATGTATTTTTTTATTAGTTACATAAGATATGAGGTAAATCATATAAAATAAAATAAACTAAGAAATGGTTAAAATTGTATAATATATATTATGTCAAACATAATACATACATAATATAATAATATATAAATGTTTAAGTCTAAAAAAACTTTTAAAAACTTTTTTATTAGTAACAAAAATATATAACCTTAGGTAAATTAATTAATAAATTAAAACCAGAAATTAATGTAGGAGCAAAAAGTGACTTCCTCCTTTAGTTTATTTATTTT